TTACCCAATTCCAAAATGGAAGATTCCTAAAATTCACCCCCGTCCCACATGCCCGGATTCCGGAAATATTCAAAGATAAATATTACCCATAACCTCACGAACTCAAATATATAATCTTCACCCCATTCCATAATCATTTTTGTGGTTAAATCCCATTTTTATCAAAACCTAGGTTTTTCATCTAAACCCATAATTTTAACAAATTTACATGTTAAAATCTACCCATAATCTATGTATTAAACTTACATTGGGTAGGAATTACTTACCTACAATCGCTAGGTTGCAATTTCCCTATTTAAAGCTCCAAAATCGCCCAAGGGTGTAATAAATGAACCCAAAAATGGTTAAGTCTCAATTTAAAACACACTGCCCAACTGCCCCCTTATTCGCGAATGCGGAAAGGGCCTCACGTTCGCGAAGGCAAAGCTCTACAGGCCCAGAGTAATGCCCATTGCGAACGGGGCAGGAGCCTTGCGAACGCAGAGGCTTACTTGGCCTACCCTACACGAACGCGAGGGCTCCTTCACGAACGCGAAGGGTAATCTGGTACTGAACTGCCCAGGCCCCTTTCTTCTACGCGAACGCGATATGCCTCACGCGACTGCGTAGGCCTGGGATCCCAAACTCCACGAACGCGACCTCCTGATCGCGAAAGCGAAGAACAAATCGTTCCACTACCAAATCCTTCATCACGAATGCGACTGTCCTTCCGCGTTCGCGAAGAAGGAAACCAGAACTCGAAAATCTAGTTTCTCCAACTTGGCTCCGGGTGGTCCGAAACACACCCGAGCCCCTCGGGACCCCATCCAAATACACCAACAAGTCTATAAACATATTGCAGACCTGCTCGAACTCTCAAAATACATAAATAATCAACAAAACCAAGAATCATACCCCAAAACGTAATTGAATCAAGTTATGAACTTCAAGTTTCCAAATCGCTCCGAACGCGTCGAGTCATACTTAGACTACTCGGAATGGCACAAAATTTTACGTGCAAATCTTAAATCACCATACGAAACTCTTCTTGGTATGGAAATCCCAATTGGACCTCGATAACACCAAAACCTACTCCAAACCAAATTTAAAGAATTTTAAAACCTTCACAGAGCCAACTTTCATTATTAGGCGCTGAAACACTCCCGGGTCATCCAAAACCCGATCCGAACATACGCACAAGTCCAAAATTATCATACGAATATATTGGAACCGTCAAATCCTGATTCCAAGGTCGTTTACTCAAAACATTGACCAAAGTCAAACTTAGCCCTTTTTGCCAACCTTAAGGAACCAAGTGTTCCGATTTCAACCCGAACCCTTCCAAATCCCGAACTACCCATCCCCGCAAGTCATAAAATAGTAAAAGCACATACGAGGAGTCTTATTTAGGGAAACAAAGTTCTAGAAAGCAAAATGACCGATCGGGTCGTTACATTCGGTGCCTCTGGCCAAGGTAGAAGTCGAAGGTGCAATATTTTGATGAATCGATTTTGAGGTCTTAGCCATCTTAATATGAAAATATGAAGGTTTGAAGACTTGTAATGAAGGTTTGAAGGTAAAATATGAAGGTTTGAAGATGAGAGATGAACATATAAAGATATGAATAACAACTTATGAAGATTTGAAGGATTGATGAGCAGATAGAAAATTCGAGAGTAACTCAAAAAGGTTCGAAATCAGAAAGTAAAAAAGTGAAAAAAGGAAACCGAAGATTTTATAGGAAAGGAATAATAAATGTGTGACGTTTCACATTTGGTAACTACCGAGGATGGTCAACCGGCAGCTGACGCGTGAACCAAAGTTAGAATGATGTGACTGATGGAAAGGAATAATAAATGTGTGACGTTTCACATTTAGTAATTGTTTAAGTGTTCTTTAGCTATTATCTCATTCAACTGAAACCGAGCTCCATTCCGAGGGCTCGATTGGGACCGGTTTTTTACGTCAAGTCTAACGCCAGGCTCAGTTACTTTGTAGTGTTTGATTTGATTGTTTTGCTTTCCTTTAATTCAATTATTTTATGTTCTCTGATCATTCGTGTTAAATTACACCACGTATCCTTTAAACTGCGTACAAATTTAATTGTTACTCATTTTAACGGTAAACAATTTACTTTTAATTTAATTTGATTAATCATTACAGGAAACTAATTTTAGTTATTCGAGACGTTCAGCTTAATGATTAATTCAACCGAAAACTAGCCATTCGGTGCTTGTATATTTTTGAAGTGTCTATATTACATTTGCACTGTATAACGAAGATGTAAACCTTGGTATTTGTATACGGTCAAAACCGAGTTTTGCCCTTCGTATGATTAATCGAGATTGGAACATGATGGTTCAAGGTTCATCATTGTAATATCGAGCCATGGTACGAAGAATATGCTGTCGAGCTCGAAGACCCAGAGACCGATCAAGATCGAGATCGACCAAGATCAAGATCGGCCAGGATCAAGATCGAGCCAAGAAACAAAAAGCCGTTACAGCCGCAATTAGGAGGAGAATCTCGGCGGAAATCACGGCACGTAACAAGAAGAGGCCGATTAATTAGCCCATCAAGAGAGTCCTTACTATATTTAGAATTGTATCAAGAGTAGGACTCCCCTATTATATAAAGAGGGTCTGATCATTTGTAAAACACACCCCAGACAGTAAAGAAGCAATATAATACTCTTTTCTCAAGGTTCTCAATATTCTGTTACTTTGCTTATATTTCCTTTGTTGTTTCATTTGGTTCGAGGGCCCAAGCTATATATCTCATTTGTTTTGCTTTTATTTTTCTTTACAGTCAATTTCAATATCAGTTTGCATATTTTCTCAGTTTATGCCAAGTAAAATCACGTGTCCTTAAAACCACATATAAATTCAATTGTTATCTACTTTTAGGGTAAACAATGTGGTGCCCACCGTAGGGCTAAGGACAATAGTGATTGCCTGGTGCTAATTTTCATAACACACACTGCTTTACACTTGTTCTTGTAAGCATTTTTGATTCCAGGATTAGCATGTCGAGCTCTCGATCAGTACCCACACACATCGGCAACGGGCTTGGTTTTCATGGCAAAAACGACAACGTAGCCGCCCCAGGCAACGAAGTGCTTCCAGTTGACCCCGAGGGAGTACTAGTTGCAGACCCCATCGACGTCAGCTCCTGAAGAAGGTGGAATCAGCCTTCGAATAATATTCATAATGCTGCAGGCTCAACAAGCTGCAAATAGCACAACTTCAAAATCAGAACCACGCGCCGAGTAGGGTCGAACCCGAGCCATCACAGAAAATTGTTCACAGGGCCGAACCAGCACTGGGGAGGTCAAATGGGAATGAGTCAGGAACCGCGCCTAGCATCCAAGCAACAACTGCATCGAGAAAAACACTGATGAGAAAGGATGAAGAAGTAAAAACAGCGAACGGAAATTAAAAACGGGATCATAGTTACGTTTCATATTCCATTTCTCAGGAAATGGCATGCTATCGGCCGGGATTAGGTATGAGGTCTTCACCTGAACGAATCTGCCCATCCAACCCCGATCTTTGTCTTCATCTATACTCGAGATGAACGCCTTGGTAACCTGACGTTGAAGCTTTATCAACCCACCTCGATAGATTAGAGGGCTGTATAATCTTACTAAGTGATTGAGGGTGAAGGGGAGCCCATCGATTTTACTCACGAAGAAACGGAGCAATATCACGATCCTCCAGAAAGAAGGGTGAATTTGGCCGAGGGTCACCTGGTATTTCTTGTAGAAATCGACGATGATCGGATCGAGGGGACCCAGCGTAAAAGGATAAGTGTCAACACTCAGATACCCTTCCACGTGGGTAGTGATCGCTTCCTCCGGTGCCGGTATCACAACCTCTTTGTTTTCCCAATTGCAATCTTTCTTCACAAGATCAAGAAGACTTTTGGGTATCGAGCATATATATCTCAATACCGGCTCGCATCGACCAGCAACCGATCAGGATTTCTCGACCTTAAAATCGGAATCAATAACACAACCCCCGGGAATAAGTTCCTCAAGGCGTGGCTCCACCACTGGTTTCTTGCCGGCCGGCCAAGATGAGGAAGCAACCTATTTCTGCGGAACGGTTTTAGATATTTTTGGCATTTAGTTTTTGTGAACAAAGGAGAATGGAGATTGAAGTATTTTGTGTTTTAAGAAGAACAAGCAACGGAATTTGAAAACCTAGAAATAAGGAGCTTTGGAGAAGGCGAAATACTATGAAGATAGAAATGGAAAAGTTTCGAAAATAAAAGTTTGGGATGATGAAGAAAGGAGATATTTATTGGTTTCATAATGACGGTTCAAAACTGGTAATGGCCGACCATCAACTAACGCGCATTTAATGACTTGGTAACCGGACCGACGAGACGTTTTTCGCATACATCACAATCAGGCTTGTCGCTGTCATCATCATCCACCAAGTCGAAATTCAGAAATTCTTATCTTTTCTCATCATCTTCTTTACGACAAAGGAGGGGACTATCTATATACGGTCAAAACTGAGTTTGCTCTTCATATGATTAATCGAGATTGGAACATGATGGTTCAAGACACTACAAGAAATTGGAGCTATGGCAACGCTTTTTATTGCTACGGATCAGTAACCGTTGCTATAGGTAGTGTATTGTTATGGTTTTAACCGTTACAAATAATTATTGGAACTACCGGGACACTTAGCAACTTAACCGTTGCAATAGTATTAAAACCATTCCGATAGAGGTATATATGACAACGTTTTTTTATAACCGTAGAAATAAATCAATCTATGGTAACAGTTATATCTATTGTTACGGTCATTAATTATTTTTCACCCAAATTTTCTATATCTGCTAACATGAAAGGGGACCACCATCAGAGTTTTAATTTTTATTTTTTAGTTTTTATACCTAATAAAATACTATCAAATATGTAAACCCCTAAAAATTAGGGTACCTATCGGAAATTACAAGGAGATACCCTCCAGGCTTTCGGAAATTACAAGGAGATACGATCTCCTCCGGTCAACAACTCTATGCTTTCAAAAATTACAAGGAGACGATCGACAATCTCCTCCAGGCTTAACAACTCCTCCATAATCGGTGGCACCGGAGGCAGCGTGCTAATCCTTTAGAGTTTCTCCAAATCTGAAAATCAGTAAATATACTCTTATTACAAAAGTTTCTTAACTCGTGTGGGTGTTGATTTTGGGCCTCATTCATGAATTAATCAATTGGGTATATCAATCTTGAAAGTTGGTTTCAACTTGAGTATATGCTCATGGTTGAAGGCTTAATTTTTAGCAGCTTTTTAAATTTGTTTTTGTTTAAATTTTTGGGTTGGTTTTTTGTATTTTTGTTTACATTTCTGGGTTGGTTGCTCGTGGGTTAGTTTTTTGTGTTTTTGTTTAAATTTCGGTGTTTCTGTAAGCTTCCTTCATGTGGGATTTTGGAATATATATATGAAGAATATTTTTGTTTATATCTTGTAGATTATTATTCTGATATGCTTCAATTTTGCAGGATTTGGGATCTATTAACTTTGTTGCTACTGCTGAATTAATTGACAGAGAACTGATATTGTTTTCGGGAATATAATTCTGGTAATATTTTTGCTAACCTATTTGATATTTATTTGATTCAGAAATTACTTAAAAATACTTTCTATTAATGCTTTTGCTACCTTATTTCACGTTTACTTTTTTGAATATGACAGATATTTTAACAGTCATGAATCAAGAAGGGTGCTCAAGCAAAAATAAAAAAATATCCAACCGCATTCCACCTGGATCACTTGCATCTTTGCGAAACCAAAAGGTTTTGTCGTTGACAACAAAAAGAACCTCTCAAGCTATAAGGTCTAATGAAAATGAAGAAAGACAATCAGAATCTCGATCACTTGCATTTTTGCGAAATCAATCGTTGACAACAAAAAGAACCTTTCATACAATAATATCTAATGAAAATGAAGAAAGACAATCAGAAGCTGAAAAGGTTTCGCAACGATCTCAATTGCAAGAAAAAGTGCGGCAAGTGCCATTTATTTTTACCTCTTCTACAGCACAAGGAGTACAAGAACAAGTGCGGCATGAACCAGCTGAAGCTGTGCATGAACCATCTGAAGATTCTACCAATCATGAAGCAATTGAACAATTTGAGGAACTAGGCAAGTATATATAAATCTTAATCATATAATTAACTAACAATGGTGATTGGTGATTATCCTTGTTTTGTATTAGTGCAGGCCCTTCCGTGCCAAAAAGAAAAAGAGGCCCCACTCAAATGCAAAGTATGCACGGAAGGAAGGACCGTAAAAAAATCATGCTAAATGAGTTCAATCAACCCATTGGTCCTACTGATGAAGTTGTGAAAGAGTTGGGTAGCTTCCTCGGCACATTGGGAAGGAATGGGACCTTTTGTCCTCTTAATGTATTTAATCGGAGGAAAGTAGATACAAAAAATGAAATTTGGAAATATGTCAAGGTTTGAAGTTCCTAATGTTCAATAAGCGTGGATTATATTTCATATTTTCTTATACTAACCTAATTGCACTAAATTTGTAGGAAAAATATGACATTCCTGAAAAGGCGAAGAAATGGGTTTTTGATTTAATTTGTACTGCTTGGAGAAAGTATAAAAGTCAGTTGAAGAAAAAGCACTTTGAAGCATATGAGAATGACGAGTTTCGAATGGAGAATAGGCCATTAGATGTTCCGGCTTCTCACTTTAAAGATCTTCTTGAATATTGGAACTCCGATCCCGCCAAGGTAATTACATCTAACTTTTGCCAACTTTGTTCCGGAGTCTCACTTTAAAGAACAAATTAGCTACCTGTCATGAGATAGCTTTTAAAGTATCCAAGTCATGAGATACAATAGCTTGGAGGATGTTTGTAGGAGTCAAGGTATAATGTGCAGCCACTCCACTTGTATTATCTACCTGTCCAATGGATTTTTGGATCAAATTTAGCTTAGAAACCGTACCTGATAGTTGCTGTCCAGTAGGAACAAACGCAGCAACATTAGGATATTTCCTAGAAAAATATCCAATGGTAGAGAAAGCTTGAAGTAGCTAAGATCTGTTATCTTATTCTACTGAAGCGAAAGATGAATTTACCTAAACTTTAATACAGAAACACCCACATTATGTTAAAATAACTGCAACGAGTAGTGCTCTAATTATCTTGACAGGCCAAACAGACTGCTAAATCAGATTGATTATTCTATGCATGTTTTAACCTGCTTTTGACTTGACATTGCATTTCTCCATTATTTCTTTTTAAAAATACTTACTTATTTGTTTAATGTACAAAACATCTATTTTTCCCTATTTAATGAGCACCAATGTCATTTGCTATGCTTTTAAAGTTTCTAAAGTTTATATGCAAGTTTTCAGATATGGTTTAGCAAGTCAAAATGTATAGGTGGTTAATCAATTCATTCATAAGTCAATGCAGAATCTCAAGCCTTACAGTCTTGTAATTAACTTATTTAGCACGATTGATGTCCAGTGCTAAGGGTCGCATTTCTGGTTTTTCTTTTCTCCTTCTTTCAATGGATGGATGCTCTCTCTCTTGCCATAAAATACCATGATGTGCTTAATGTTTATTCCTATTCGCTCTTCCTGAAACCTGTATACGGTCGAAATGAATTCCAGCCTTTGCATGTCCGGTACGGTTTGAAGGGTAGTGTATCGAAGTAAGATCCCGAAGGGGGGAACGAACTAACCTAGAAGCCCGGAGAGGCCGGTCCGTATTGAGATCGATATCATAATCAAACTCGAACAAGAGTCGAACCATGGCGCGGGTAGATCTATCGTGCTGATAATCCAAAAACCAACATCGACATGGAATCCATCCGAGGACTCGAACCAGGATCGGGCTCGAGCCAAGATCACGAGTTCGAGCCTAAGTCAAGCTCGAACCAAAATCAAGGATTCTAAGCAAGATCGAGCTCGCAGACAAAAGCCGTTATAATCCCACTAGAGGGAATCTTGGCAGAAATTATGGAAAAGCTTATTTATCATGGGTCTCCCCACTGAATGTTTATCTTATTATACTTGGAACCAAACCCTTTTCACTATAAAAGGGCTTGTTTTATCATTCTTGGGGGGCATCTTTTTGGAGACGGAGACTATAAAAAACTGTATTATTTTCCTTTAGAAGAAGCAGTGATCTTTCTAGTTTCTTAGATTGATTCTATTTTGTTAAATCCTAAATTCACTGTTCATAATTGATTCGCCTGGATTACATTTTCTCTAACCTCTATTCATCTTTTTAGCATTCTGTATTAAGTTGTTCCACATATCTTCGGAACTGCGTATAAATTCAACTATATCCATTTTTCCGGAAAACAGTTTGGCGCCCACCGTGGGGCCGAGGATAATAGTGGTTACTTATTTTCGAAAACACCTTTAATTCAGGTTCGGCTACGAATAGCCACCGACTGGATGGCTTTACCGACCGATTGCGCTACCCGAGATTCGAGCCGAAATACTACTAGATGTCCATTCACAAATTGCTTTGGAAGCAAACCAGCGTTACGAACCGGAAAGAAGCATTCAGGGCGGTGCTCGATCCGTAGCCCAAAACACCCAAAACCCAGAGGAGATCGGGGCCAGCTTACGCATGCTCTTCGAGATATTGCAAGCCCAGCAATTAGCGATAGCTCGGCTACAGAGCCAAACTCAAGCACAAAGCAGGCCGGTTTCCAATCCATTTCGAGAGGTCCAGCAGGGGTTACTTCGAGAGGTCACCCCCAGAACAGAGCCTGCCATAGTAAAATCTAATGAGCAGGAATCGGGGACTACTCCCGGAATTACTAAATTGCTCGAGGAACTCACAAAACGAGTCGATGCCAATGACAAGAGGGTGGAAACGTATAATGCCAGGGTCGATCAAATCCCGGGGGCTCCACCAATGATAAAAGGGCTCGATTCAAAAAAATTCATACAAAAGCCTTTTTCATCAAGTGCGGCACCGAAGCCAATCCACAAAAAGTTTCGTATACCAGAAATTCCCAAATATAACGGTACGACGGATCCTAACGAACATGTCACCACACGTGCGCCATAAAAGGCAATGATTTGGAAGATGATGAGATCAAATCCGTGCTATTGAAAAAGTTCTGGGAGACCCTCTCGAAAGGGGTTATGATTTGGTACCACAATTTACCACCAAATTCCATCGATTCTTTTGCCATGTTAGCAGATTCATTCGTAAAAGCACATGCTGGAGCCATAAAGGTTGCAACGAGAAAATCAGACCTCTTCAAAGTAAAGCAAAGGCAGGGAGAGATGCTGAGAGAATTCGTATCCCGATTTCAAATGGAACGCATGGAATTACCCCCCGGTCACCGACGACTGGGTCGTACAAGCTTTCACCCAAGGGTTGAACGAGCTAAGTTCGACAGCATCACATCGGCTGAAGCACAATTTGATCGAGTATCTGGCGGTAACTTGGGCAGATGTGCACAACCGATATCAATCGAAAATTAGGGTTGAAGATGACCAGTTGGGAGCTCCATATGGGCATGTTCATCAGAACAAGACAGTTATTAATCAAAAGCAGATCGACAGAGAGCAAAGGTCAAACAGAGACCAATATCGACCGAACGTCACCGATAGAGTAAACAATGGTTCAACACGCAGCGCAATTCGGAACGGTCAAAGAATTAATCGGGGACAAAATTCTCGGGGGCTTATGAGTAAGAGCGGCTTCGACAAATATG